CACAGCGCGAAAACGGCCGCGGACCACGCGGCAGGGCCGGAAAAACAGCCGCGGACCACGTGGCACGGGCGGAAAATGGCTCGTACCCCGAGGCGGAGTTCGCAAACCGAGGTAAAAATTTGGGGCCAGAGCTGGTCGTAACCCGAAAAATTCGCAAGCAGAGGCGTTCGTATCCCGAGGTACCACTGTAATTTAAGAATGATCTGCAAGGGTTCTCACTGCAGCCAGTCCTGACACTCTGAAAACCTCAGAGCGCTCCCTGGAGCTGAATGAATTGCAACAGAGAAAAATGGGATCAAGCCAGCATCCTACCCTTTTTTACACTGAATTCATTTGCTTGAAAATGTGGAGTCCTTGGGGTTCTCTGAGTTTGGTTGTTTTCTTGCAGACGTTTCATTACCTGACTAGGTAACATCTTCAGTGCTAGAAGGGGGTGGGGTTTGATCTCTGTTTATATACAGTAGCTTGTCCTGTCAGTGTTGGTGGGGGAGTTGTTTTCTCCTTGGTAGTTCCTAGATGAGGCTGTTGTTTACTGCTTGAATTTTTGTCTGCTGCTTGAACATTTCCAAAAGCATCACAGTTGATGCTACAGAATACAGTCTAGTAAAATGTTGGGGAGCAGGGACTGACAAAATCTCCATACCTAATGCGACACCAGGGCTCAAAAGACTGGTGAATTTTAGCCAGGATGGAGGGGGAGCCCATGAATTCCTACCAGTGGGGAAATGCTCAACTCCTAAGCCCTATGCTGTGGAAGTACCATTGCAGATTGAAACTGAGCTTCTTGTCATTTCTACAGCATCCCACTTGTGCCAGAAGGAAATCAGTGGAGATGTGGATCACAGGAGCACTGAACCAACCTACAAGCAGTGCTAAAGCCATGTGAAAGTGCATTAAATACCTTTTTTCCCTAATGAATTTAGCAACAAGAAAGAGGGATGCAGCTCTGATGCTGGACAATCCATTCTGTCAAAAAGTAAGCTATATAAATGATCTAAGTCTTTACATGTACGTCTCCCGCTAACTAACATTTATTTTAACATACAAGTACTAGGAAATCGTTATGTGCATAAAACTGGGTGGGAGATTCTTAACAACAAATTCCCTATATTCATGGAGGGTTCTCCACAGTTTTCAGGGTGGGGTTCCCCCCTCCAACAATGAAGACTATAAACTTGCTCTTGTTATTGTATAAAAGCTTAGATTCAGAGGAATCCATCACAAAAGTTCTGAGTGATAAATTAAAACTGCATTCTTGGTGCCACTCTGACAAACTGCAAGAAGATGAGTTTTGTTCACAGGTGCCCATTCCTAAATATGATGTCAAAATGACAAAACATGCATTGGGACATCACACTAATTCTTTCATACCGGTGTTGCAACGTTCACAAAAGTACGTAACAGGTGGAGTTTGTATCCCAACATGTCTCAGCACTTGCTCCCCATCACAGATGCCTACAGTTCTTCTGCGGAGGATCTTTTCCCATGAAACTCATCTTTCCCTACAAGCGTAAAGGCAATGTGGTCTCCCCAGGCCTCCTGAAGTGTAGCAAGCTAATAAGAGATGGTAACAACAGCTGCTGTTGGAGCTGTGGATTGAGTTACAAGGAAGCCCAGACTTCTTTTGTCTACTCTGCTCTGGTGATCCATCACCAACTCTGACGGCACTTAGACCAGCAAGGGAGCTCTCAGCACTGGGCTAGCAACAGCCTTTACATCTAAAGGTAAAGGATTAAACTCATGAGATGTTTATATCTCTCAATTAAAAGATGGCGTAGGAGATCTGATGCATGTCTGGTGGCAGCAACTTCAAAGCCAGAGAGAGCCAGGAGAGCTCTCTGACACCTCTTTATGTCACCAAGGTATATAAGCACTGAGACAACAGCAAGTACTAAACCACAATCTTTTACTGCTTTTTACATTAACATGGGGAGGGAAGTCATGAAGAGCTTTCCCAGCTTTCTTTTAAAAGAAAACCGACACACAACAGAAAGGAATTTACAGCTCAAAGCCAACCCACCTGTTGGACAGATGCAGTAGTTGACCTGGATTCAAGTAGGCATACCTGCAAACTATCTGTAAAGAACGTTTATTCTTCCTGCTTCAGTGGTGGCTATTTGTTTATCTAAATTCCAGCTCCTGTGGCTGAGTACCTCTAAGCATGTGCAGAATTCTTTCTGTCCTATAGGAAAATGAGGCAGAGCTAGCATTTTTCTTTTTCAGAAAGGGAATCTTTTCTTGCCCGCCTGGAAACTGATGGTGCAGAAGAATATGGTCTCCTACACCACACCCTTATTTTCAGCCTGTCCAACTGCCTTGTCTGGCTATATTTGCACAGATGAAGTGCTGCCCTAAGAGTTGGCTCGTAACAATGTTGAACACAAGTTTTATGCTACAAATGCAAGGTTTATGCCATGTCAAGAAATACACACTAGAAGGCAAAGATGGCACAGCTGGATTGGTTAAAGCTGTTCTAACTCTGCATTTTCCAACCTGATAGGTGGCTAAAAGGATAACACGTGGGTCACGGATGGCAGCTATGGGTTGCACAAGCTTGCTTCCTGCTGATCACAGCTGAAAATCTGTAACAGATGCAAGACCACCTCAGCATGACTATTTATAGGAAACACAGAAAGAGGATGGCATGAGATCATCACAGTTGCCAAGCAATAGCAGAGCAGAATCTTGACCTAAACATGGAAGCCATGAGTTACTGGCTAAATTGACCCATTGCTCTAGGCCTCTTAGGGTCCTCTGGAATGCCAAGCTCCATCTTGGACTCTGGATAAATAGATAGATATAGATATAGATATATATGCTGCTGACTCTAAGAATGCACTACTCTGACACATCCTCTTTAGGTGCTCAGAATATCTGGAAACACTTAGCCCTGGATGTGGAGGAGGAAACAATTAAATCCCCCTTCTGTGTAGCAGAAAGACTTCTTGGAAAACATGGGTGCCTGCCTTCAAAGTGCTATGTAACATCCATCCTCACCTGGCTCCACCAAAGCAGGCAGAAACAAGGCCTTGTCCTAGGGACACAGTCATAAGCAACGATGGATGCTCCCTTACAACCACTGTTTTCAGGCCCTGGTCTCTCAGAATCATTTCCAACAGATACGTGCTTATCCTATGACTGTCCCTTCAGATGACAAATGGGAAGCACAAAATCAGCACCCAAATAGCACTCAGCCTTCCCCTACCCTCCGCCCACATTAATTAGTGCTGAATTTTTACCTTCTGCAGGAAAAAGAAATCAGCCATTAAAAAAGTGATCTGCAAAAAAAGCAACCCTCCTGATTTATAAAAGAAAACAGCGCAAAGATCAGGTGGTACAATAGCAGCTAAGCAGCTCTGGACAGTGGGGAAAGACCGACGGAGGAGGTGGGGTGAAATGAGGATTCACGCCAGTGGAAAAACCACCTATCCTCAAGCTTCAGTGCTATACCGGCATTGCCAGCATCTCTTTTTCACGGCTCTTAACTGGCCCTCTTCCACAATGGAGACAGCAGCATTTGATCAGGTGGGCTCAGTGAGGTGTTTTTTTCTCTCTACTACAACACCAAGGATCACCATCTTGCTGACAGACCAGTTAACACTTTCCTTGTTCCTTGGAGTTTGTTTCCCAACAAAAAGGTACAGAGTCTTTGGGTACTAGGTGTGAGGGCTACGTCAGCCAAGGTCAGAAGCAAAGAGTTGAGGCCAGAGTAGTCCACCCCAGTAACAATGCCCAGATGTCAACCACTCACCCCACCCCAAAGTGAGACTCTTAGCTTGTTACATCAGTGATAGAAATGAAATGGGTGCGTTATTAAATAACCATGACACATTCCTATAAACATTAAAGAAGGAGTGTAATTTTTCTTTTTGAGTGAGTGATCATTTGCAACATAGTTAGGAAGAACAAACATCATTTAGTGTTCCAAAGAAGCATCTTATTTGACATTTTTCCATCACAGTAAGTATACAGAATGCAGATTATTTCTCACAAAAGTAACCCGCCAATATTCTTTGTCATAGGAATGTGCCAGAAGGAATCTGGATTGAAAAAAGTGAACAAATCCCAGCAGTCCTACAAAAGCACATTCCAGATGCTGCTTTCAAAAGAAACTCTCTTAAAATTACGATCTGGTTATGATTCTTATTCCTAGAAGAGAAGCCATACTGATTAGCTATAGATACAAATTGGAAGACCCCAAAACTCTGTGTTATGCATGTTTAGAATCAGGGTTATTATTAGTTAGAGCAGGGATGGGGAAACTGTGGCCTTTCCAAAATCTTGTTGGACTATGCTGATTAAAGGTTGTTGAGTCAATGTTCAACAAGATCTGAAGGACCACAGGTAGGAGTGAACAAATGCATAAGCCAAAATAAATGCCCAGTTGGAATTCAGTAGCTTCAACTGAAGAGGAGGTGTATATTCAGACAGATAAAATATGCTATTTTATTAATCTAGTCCAGATGGAAGCAGTTTGCAACATCTCAATGAAAGCAATGTCCTTTCCTTTCCCCATAGCCTAAGATCAAATAAATACAGTGACAACAGATCTTTATTTAAACCTAGGTTGCCCTCCTAATGTAGCACAAGATTCTGTTACAGTATATAGAGGATAATAACTGCACAGGTAAAGGAAGCAAAAGGTTCCACAGCTTCTCCAATATTTTTTGTCCCAACTGAGTTCACTCTGAGTATTTGTGTTCATTTGAGGCATGGGTGATACATTATTTCATCCCACCAGCATTCCTTTTTCAATTAGGAATAACCTCTTCCTAATCTACTTTAAATGTGATCCAGATTTTGAGTAGGTGGCCCTGCTGCTAGTACATCTAGTCTGGCCTAACGTTCTTCTCCCTGGACATGCCCCAAATGAAATTGGGGTCCTTTCACTCCCAATGCATCTGCTCCATCACTAATTTCTCAAATCAGTAAAATTACAAATATTGTAGCCCACCCTATTGGCTATGTGAGAGCACTATCATCTTATTTTTGGCTTGGAGGTTATCAAAGGGAAAGGGCTCAGAAATAATGCACCATCATTTTAAATATTCCAGACTGGCATAAAATAAAATAATGCATTGCTAATCTATTAATATGGCTCCCCAAAGCCATAGATGGGTTGCAGTATTGCACAGTATGTCCAGCTTTTAAATAACAAACTCCTAAAGTCACAGCAAGTAGCAATACCTAGCAACCCTGGCTGATTTTAAAAAAAAAATTAAATAGGATTGAACCAGGTTAGTAGTTGGTTAAGAGACCATCACGAAATTTGAAGGAGGTAAAGTAGACTAGCATTTTTTTTTAATCCTGGAAGAAAGGAAAGACAAACCACTTCTGCATTATTGCCAAAAAATCCAGGAGTCAGTCTTGACACAAGGGAATAGTACAAGAAATATAGGCTGGATAGCAGAGTTGGATTGCTTCTGAACCATGTTCAAGTCTGTAAAGATCAAATTCCACTCACATTCTCAACACACCCATTTCGTTGGTCTTTAGTGATGGGGCTGCACCCAGAAGCACAGTAGCCACATCCAGACAGTGTTTAATCCAAGCCTATTTAATACAGCAACAGTAAAGGGGTGTTCCTACAAATTTATTTTCCAGGACATAGCCAGGGCAGTTGAGATGACTGCAGGGTAATCTGGTCTAAGTCGAATATACCTGCATTGTTCCTTCAAATTTCTGAACAGATCTTTTGAGAAATGTTGCTGCTTCCTATTCAGCAGTTGGCTGAGAGTAGCTAGCTGCAATTTTAATTAAAAAACAAACAAACACCAAACCAAACCAAGAACTGAAGAGAGAGAGGGGAGCATCCTTCCCTACCATTTCCCCTTCTTTGTTCATTTGTTCCTTTCCCAAAGATCAAGAAGCAGAAGGGAATGAGATGTGAACTACTCATATCAAAGAACGCAGTAGTGCAGAAACATACAGAACTGCAGATCCCATTTTTCCTACTTCTAGTTATAAGTTTTCTAGTGTTCTAGGACCCAGCTTAGTTCTTCTGATATGCTTATGTGAATTACAGCAGCATTAAAAGTAGGTATGAGGAGACAGTTCCCACACTGTTGCCTTGATGCGCACCACCCTCTTGATTCAGAACAACCGTGGCTTCGAGACAGAGCGTCTGCTTTGCATATAGAAAACTGAGCGCATCTAAGCTTTAAAGAGCTTCAGATGGAGTAGACAATACTGGGATAACTCAGTCGGTAGTCCATCAGCATAAGCAGTGTTAAGGATCCATGTCACCCCCAAAAGGGCAAATATTTAGGCAAAATCTCAGTTAGAATATTGTTGCACAAAGGTGCAATGTGAATATCTACTGTGAAGTGTACCATAAAGAAGACATTGATATCCAACTGAATACAGCTGCCTAAGTAAGTGTTAACACCAAAGACAATATATTCTGGCCTTGCACTTCATAAACATCTGGAGAGCTGAACTATGAATTAACCTCAGGAGGGAAAATAAGAGTAGTGAAGTGAAAAACCGAGGTTGTGTTAACATAAGGCTAAAAGATTCTTAATCCAAGTCAATGAATACTGTAGAAGAATTAATGCTTCCAACGTTATCTAGAAGTCATGAGAACCAAAGCAAGAGTTCTTTGCTTTCTCCAACCTGGAGTTTTCAATTAGTCTGTGATGAGAGCCATCAAGCCCAGTTCTTCCAGTTTTGCTCTGATGATGGCATCCCAGCCTTTGTTAGCCTTGGGATTGCGAGGTGATGGGTGCATTACTCCCTCTACTCGTACTGAGATACCAGCCACTGACAGAGCCTTGTGGGCACGCTGTTCAGCAAAGCGTCCAACCCCAACAACTGTTGCAACACCCAATAATTTCACAGCTTCACACAGGGCATCATCACAAATTTGCAGAAGCTGTTCCCGCTGAACCGCTGGCAGGTCAGCCGGTGTCAGATTGCGCCCACTTTGACTGACAAAGAGCAGTGGGCAATGATTGTGTACAAAGCAGTGCTGGAAGAATTTTTCAGGCCTGGTGCACACAGAGCGGAAGAAGCCCCAGAAGCGGGCTCCACTCACCTCCATTCGGGGGCACTCCAAGCCATGGATGGGCCTCTTAGGGTGTTCACATGCTGGTCGAGACACCTGTCCACTTACCTGCAGCCAGTCTCGAACAAGCTGCACTGCTCCAAAGGGCACCTGGAGGAGAAATACGTGCTGTTACAAGAAAAGTTTCTTAGTACAGAGATGAGGTGGAGATCTGCATTTGCTTTGAGAGACCTGCAGTGGACATTTAACCCCCAAATTGGAATGAAGCATTCTCCTGAAAGTAGAGGGAAAAAAATATTAAAAACACAGCTTTCTCTCAACATATTCCACCCTTCAGTAGGGAGAGACTCCATAACCCCCACCAGGGTACCACTTTTTTTCCTTGTTTAACTCCTTAGTATCACTTCAGGAAATAGTTCAGGCAACTCACATGCCAAGAAGGAATGTGATGCAGCAACCACATTGAAATTAAACGGGTCTAAGGACTGGCCAGTGCGGATGAGACGATATAGGATGCTTAGGAACTCCCTGTGGGTTGCTTTGAGCTTCACTAGGGAAAGAAAATAGGATATAAATAAACAAAAAAGTAGGGAGAGAAGACTAGGAGTCTGGAGCTCCAAGGCAGAGGACTACTAAGAAGTGCACTTTATCTATCCCAGCTTCAAAAACAGTTGTGAGCTCACTGAATGCAGTTTAGCTTAATAAATATTTCAGCTCAGCTTTAACCAAGCTGGGGCATGCCAAATGGGTTGGACTACCATCTCCCATCAGTTTTCTATTTTTGTTTATTCAAAACTTTTAGATACAGTACTGCTTCCCATTAAAACATCTCAAAGTCATTTGTTTATGCTCCCTGGGTATTTCAAGACTTGCTGTCCTAACACATTTGGAGTTCACCAGCTTGGTAAGGCTACTTTAGTCAGCATCTCCATATCTGTGTCAAAAGTCCTCTACATCCTGTGAACTTTGGCATATTGTACTTGCATTTACATTTCAGTTTGGGTCTATAAGGATGCCTCGGGACAGAATGAAAAGTGAACAATGTCTAGAGGACTCTTCTGTATCACTCTTGAGCAATTTGAAAAACACCATCTATATAGGTTTGTTGGAATTGATGAAATAGCTGAGGTCTGGCAAACAGCTCTGCTTTCGCTGAGCAGCTCAGATTCCACAGAGCTAATTAAGGCTCCAGAGTGGAGCTTGCTAAACCAAACTGAAGCTTTTTTTGGAAACTCTATTCATCCAAGCTTGCAGACGACATGTACTATGTTGCACAGGACTGATATACCTACCTAGGATCTCAGTTCTATAGCAAAGTCTTTCCCTTTGATGCAATAAGCTTTGGACGATATTCATTATTTAAAAAAAAAAAAAAGGGTTCAGAAGAGCAGTTATAATAAAAAGACAGGAATCCCAGGCAAAGTTGAGAGACGCCCTTTCCATTCCACTCCAAAGCATTAGCAAATGGTTTCAAATGCACCTCTTTGAACCCCAAACTCAAAGACTTATTATGTCTCAGGAGAAGCTCCCAGGTCTCAATTAGCATGGAGACAATAGGCTTAATGTGTTATTGATGTGGTTGTACATTAATGTTGCTGCTCCCTCCAACTTTGATCCAGGGATAATGGTTTCACTGAAGCTCTTCTCTCAGGGCCCCCATCATCCACAGGGAGGCTGGTGGGGACTGGAATAAGAGCCATTTTTGCCCCACCTTTCAAAGTCCTCTTCCAGGAAGCCCCATTTAATGTCTACCGTTAACCTTTCAGCATTAACCAAAGTTCTCCTAGGCCTTTACAATCTTGTTCCCTTTGGCTTAAATTTCCTGTTATTGTGAGGTTTGACTGACTGTTTTGCAACACTATTTCTGTCCTTATATTTTAGGTTTGCAGACTGCATTGAGAATGTTGTTGAAAGTGGGCTGTATACTTTTCTAAATGATCATTAAAACCAAAATAGGGGCATATGGAGAGGAGACATAGGATGTTTCTATGCCTACAATACACTGAGCCTCCAGAGGTTCCTGTAATACGAGACTCTTCATCTCTGTAACCTTTCCCACATATAATTAAAGATGACATGTACTAGGATGCTAGCCAAGGAATATCTACGCTCCAGCATTTATATTGGATTCATACCAATTTAGCTGTCATGACTTCCCCTAAGCAATGTGGGAATTCTAAGGAAGACCTTAAGGTTTTATCATTGGCAGCTACAAGTAAGGCTGGGAATCTTCCCTGTCTGCACCCCTGGAAGCAGTGGCCAGTCAGCGTGCCGTATTCAACTAGATCAGGGTCCCAACCTTTGGGGGACAGGTGAACTCATTTCATGTTTTAAGACAATCAAAGAAAATGGCTCCCATGAGGACTTCTTCATTCATAAAATGGCTGCTATGGCATCTGATTTGCCCAAAGGCAAATGGGTGGGGTTGCTCACTGCTACTCTCTCTCCAACCTATCTTCTCCCCAGACTTTCTCTCTCAACCCCTAGCTTACCCCTAGTCTTTTTGGGGAGCTTAGGTGATTTGCTTTTAAAACAGCCAGGGCTGAGCTGTAGCCTATGTGAAATCCAAGGCCATTCTTAGAAATAGAAATTGTTCTGGATGCTTACAGCATGCTAGGTTTTTAAATTTTTTTATCTAAAATGAAAGTAGCCTTTGAACTACTTTTGTGCATCCATCCTTGCCCTACTTGACCTCTCAGCGGCTTTTGTTACTATTGACCATGGTATCCTTCTGAATCGGCTCAGAGGATTGGGGGTGGGCGGCACTGTGTTGTGCTAGTTCACCTTCCTCCAGGGAGGATTCCAGTCGGTGGTGGTTGGGGAGGAGAGATCCCGCCCTGGGCCCCTGTTATGTGGGGTGCCACAGGGTTCGGTGCTCTCCCTCCTCCTATTTAACATCTACATGAGGCCGCTGGGTGAGCTCATCCATCGCCATGAGGTGAGGTATCATCAGTATGCCAATTATACATCTCTGCCCCTGGTGAACTAAGCGATGCTGTGAATGTCTTATCCCGGTGCCTGGAGGCTGTGAGGGTCTGGATGGGGAA